TCTTAAGCTTTATCTAGGCAACCATACTTTCATCCATCAACATCTACAGTGAATTTAACGGTAGCCAAGCAGTTAATCTACCAAGATCAAGATATCTGTACAACACTATATATGCCAAATGACATTTATCACACTATTATTTTAACATTCTGAGGGAAAATGTGTACTTTGGAAAGGCACAGTGTACAACATCCAGTTACAAGTACATTTCAGTTCCTCCTGTAATTAGAGAAAACCCACCTGTTTATATTAATGAATTAGGCTACTTGTTGAATAGCTACTAATTTTTTTTTTTTTTTTCAGGAATACTGCCATTTCTGTAAAGGTGGGACGGAAGAACAAAAGGAACAAAAATACTTATCTCACTAACAGAACTCCACTCAAATTTTAAAAATTGGACAGTATATTCTGTCTTGTATTAGAGATGAATTTTAAACAACAGGATAATCCATAGAAAGCACTTGTAGCATTTAGTGACTGATATATAGTAATCACTTAACAAATATTATTATTAAGGCACACACATACAGACCAAGATTAAATGTGCTGTCATCATAAAGATGTTACACTGAAAATCATCTAACAGCATTCACCTAACAGTTTATAAAGTGCTTGACCAGAATGATATAAAATTTTACAACTATGTGCTGTAATATATAGCACTTTGGATATCAGTATATATGTACTACCCAAGGAAGGTAATGAAAAATATCCATGTAGACTCACTTTCCCAATAACAGCACTGACCTGAAGATTCAGTATGTGATTTCTCAGATATTAACATCATCATATTATTGAATATTACATAACCTGTGTATTCCACTACCAAAAATACAGGTAATATTCAAAGGAATTTCAGCATTAAGATCTTCAGTTTCCAAGCTTAAAAGAGAAGCAAAATGTTAAGGTTGGCATGTAAATTGTGTATAATAAGCTCATTTTCAAGTTTTCCACTTGATGCTATGAAAGAATGAAACGTTAGTGTTTCCTTCTTTGTTTCAAACCCAGGGTTGTCTTCTTGGAGTCCCATACAGACTACACTTCTACTGAACCAAAGCTAAATAATGCCTCTACTGAAGAGGGAGCTTGACCATTGGTAACAATTTTACAGTGGAAGTTTCCTATGAGCTAGGAAGGCAGTAATCTGAGACAAATTTTTTTTCCTGGATGAGTCTTTATTATAATCACTCAGGAATACACCTAACATGTACTACATAGTAAGACTCAAGAGGTTTATTTCTGATCACCAAAGTCCTGAGATTTTAGTAAAAAGAAATCAATCTCCAGTGTGACAATTCCAAATACCAGTCAGTCTGAAGCCTGAGTTATTTGCCTAACAAGTGATTTCATCGTTAAAATTTTGTGATGATTGTCTTCGTGGAATAGAGCTATAATTTCTAAAGACAATAAGGAGCAAATAATTAGTAAACACAAGTTCAGCCAAGTGTTTCTAACAAGAAACATCGAAAAGAGCAAGCTGCAGAAAGTCATAATAAGTACTAATAATGTAAAAATTAAACATACAGAACATTGCTATCTATTGTCTGTGGCTACTTAAATATGCAATAAAACTTTAAAACTATACACAAGAGAGAGATGTTACCTATGAGAGCAGGGGTGGGAAGATATAGAAATGGACTTTAGTGGTATCTGTGACATTTCCCAAAAAATATCATGTATGGTCTGAAGCAAAAGGGGCAAAACATCAATAGCTGCTAAATCTGGGTAGTGGGTTGCTTTTCTGTATTTCTACCGTATTTCCTAATTTAAAAGAAAAAATTATGTGATTATAAGTGGACAAATAAACTAAGAACTACATAGTTCAAAATGAAATCTCCAAGATCTGTAAAACTAGTCTCAGTTAACAACAAAACAGCTATCGGAAGACTCAGTCCTTTGCCACTGACTCACATACATATTAGAAAAAGACCTACTTTACAATAAGAACAGGATCATTTATGTAGCAAAGTTCAGAGAGGTTTCATAGATAATTTACCACTTAAAACGACATTTATCCATTTGTATTGGACAATATCAATTATCCAGAACCAGGAAGTAAAAAAAAAAGCTTGCATGAAAAGCCAGAATAGGTGATACAAAGTCCAAACAATAAAGCTCATGCCCTTCACTCAGAAGAGAATCCACAAACTCTCACTTAGAGATTTCTTTATAAGTTCAAACAAGCTTGTTTATCTGGTTACTTACACCTCTTCAGATCAAGTTCAGTAAAATAGAAGAGGGAAGAAATTGCACAATAGGAAGCGACAAGGCACAGTAAGTTGCAAGAAATAATAACCTGAGAGTAAGGAAAACAAACAAGAAAACTTTAAAGAACATATATGAAATTAATAAATCATAGTACATAGTTTTAGATAATCTATGGTTATAAGTATTAATGACAGGTATTCAGAATGACATCTAGTATTTTTAAAAAAGAAAATCAACAAACTTAGATTATGAGGAATTACAGAGTTTAAAAAAATAAATTTTAGGAATATTTCCATCCAAACCAGTAAAATTCCAAGTACTTCAAAGGGTAAGCTTTATTTATGTGGAAAATTCACTGCAGAATTCACTGGCAAATAATGGTAGATAAAGCTTAACATATAAAAGTTTCTTAGGTGATTCTTCATAGATATATTTCAAGAAACAATAGAAAATTTGAATATATTCAGTTCCTTATCAAGCTTTCAAAAATTTAATTTCCTAAGATCATTTAGTGATCTAGCTCAATGCTAGGCAAATGATTAATTTCATCATTTTTTAAAGTAATAAAAAAAACTACTAAAATGACTGCATAGAAAATAAGCAAAATTTGAGCAGAAAATTCCATAACACAGGGGTTGACAATAACATCCATTTATGTGCCAAGTTTTAGCCTGCCAAACAAACTACTATATCTGTAACTCTCCTCTAAGTGCCAATTTACTCATCACCAACAAGAATATTTTGTTGGCAGAAGCCAGGGATTGTCTAGTATATCCTGACTTCTGGCCTTGAAGGATGAAGTTAATTTCTCTGGCACAGGTAAAACATTTAAATAAGAAAAAGCTCAATTACTGTGTAAACCACTACACAATCACAACAAGGAATTGTAGCCACTCACATAAACTTGTAATCTATTTTTAAATTAATTATCCACAAAGCAAGAGAGTTAGAATTTGAAATATGTACAAAAATCTGTTGCTCTCAAATACCCTAACGTAAAGGAAGAGGAAACGAAATGTCCCATTTCTCTAGGCCCATGATAACACCTTTTCAAAATCTGCTGAATTAAACCAAACTAATTTCTAAATTACTGCACAATGACTAATTTCTTCACCTTCCCCAGGAGTCCACACCCCAGGTCAGGTTAAAAATCCACTAAATTTCTAATATGTAACCTGTATAAATACTCTGGGCTTATCATAAAATTCTGCAACTAAAGCAACCAAGCGGCTTGCATACTCTGTGTAATGTGATTCCAACTATTAGAAAACTGACCCAATACCAGTTATAAATCTGGGTTTCCAGAGATTTAATTTTGTCCACACTTTTAGATTTCCACAATAAGATACCATCTAATGCCACAATTTAAACTTACTGCTTCAATCCATCGATTTAAAAAAACATTAACATATGTTTTTTACTACTGATGTTAACTTTTTACTAATGTTAATTTCTCTTTACACTTCCAAAGGTGGTAATGCATACAATTAAAAAGTCCGATTATCCTTTAATAACACCTGTTAGAATTCACTATAATGCCATCTTTCATTTGTGTTGCCATCTAGCCTGAAAAGAATTTCTGTAAAGAAATGCTTTGAAAAGTTCATGTCACTAAAAAAGATTTTTATTTCCTTGTATCAAATTGACAAGTCCCTGCTAATATCTAGCACATTACCATGTGATCCCTCAATGGCCTAAACCAGTCTTCTAAATATTTCTCATCTCTTTTGGAAAGGCAGTTATAAAAGAGATAAGAAGTACATCACTGCTTATTGTTCTATCCTAACACTTAAATAAAACTGCCACTTCCTAATAAAATAATCATTTAAAAATCTTTATTGACAATTTTTTGAAAATTTTCCCTAAATATGTATTCCTCTTAGAATTATGAACCCCTTATGCCAACAAATAGGGTAGAGAAACAAATGATTTTTTTTTTAATGTTAGTCTTTTTCACATAATGCGAACTCATTCATTGCTAGGTCCTTCCTCCTCTGCCAAGTCACAAGACACACTACTGTTTACAATCCCTCCCATCTGCCCCCTGCCAATATATATCAAAACACTCTAGTCACTTGGCTTAACCAAACAGAGTCTCCCAAATAACCTTCTCAAATCCTAATTTAGACCCAAGATGCCCTCATTCTGATTCATATTCTTAATGGAAAAATTCTAAATCACCTTACTTTCAGAGGGTTGCTTTGCCTTTTGATGCAGCCAAACCTTAGAGCCCCCATGCTTTCACACAAGTGCCCCAAATCTGACAGTATACTTTTTAATTCCACACTTTTAGACATATTTTTAATCTGAGTACTCAGCTTTCAAAGACAACTGCCAACTTTCAATTCATTCAAACACTAGTCAACATTTCTTTCATTTCACTGCTACATACACACCCCATTCTTTAAGGTTGAGGCCTACTGACTGCAGTAGGAAAAGAAATGAAACAAAATCTATTTACCATCATTCTTCAAAATAACTACTAAAGTTCCCATTCTTCATTACAGACTTCACATAATACATCATATAACATGATATGACAAACATCTGCTGTTCAGGACCTTTGTAGGGCATCAATATTAATGGTCTCCAAAATCAAGCATACTTCACATAATGCTGCGAGGGTGCTGGGGGAGGTGGGGACAGCATGATTCACCAAAAACGGCAACGAAAAGTAATGGAATATTTTCACCGGTGGTATGCTAAAACTAAAGCTTCTTTCAGAGGAAGGTACTGCTAAACAACCATCGCTGTAGCAATAAATCCACCTGCTTCAAAGGCTGCAAAGCTAGGAGGATGAGAAGAAAAGCGGAGATGGGGTCCTCCTTCAGCTTCTCTAGGGGTTAGGAAAGAATAAAGTCACTGCTGCACTGTCATTTGAGGAGAAGGGGAGGGGGGAGGGGCGGATCATCTTGGAAACCCAGTCCCAGGGCCGGAGCAGGCGAGAACTCAGCAAGGCTGCCTGGGATTAACATTCTCCTTCTCACCCTCTCCTCCCTTCTAGAATCTCCCCTCGTCGCTAACGCGCGGCGGCCAGAGTCCCAGATGACTGTCCCTTCCAATGTGTCCTCCGTGGGGCGTAGAAAGAACCAGAGAAAAAACTGAGTCAGGAGGTTGAGACTCCGATGATCCTCTGGCCTCTCCCAACACCCTCCAGCCTCTCCCAGAACACTAACAAACCTGGAAGTGCCGGGAGTCAGAGGTATGCCCCACACAGGTGTGCTCGCCCCG